AAGAGAAATTTAAATTAATCAGGCTTTCAAAAATAACTGTTTATCTTTCACAAGAGCCTTGAAGATCTTCTCATTTATCATGCACTTAAATCAGTGCAGATTTCCTGTAATTCGCCCTTAATCCACAGCTGGGCAAAACTCTCTCCTATCAAGGAATGCCAAAACTGCTGGTGTCGACTTGGTCCCTCCCAGCCATTCCTGTCAAAAATGTTCATCTGTGTAGGAAGGGCTGATTCAAACCCTACTCACAATTTGGGGGTTGCTTCTATGGGACTTAAACTAATTTACAGGTACAATATTTAAACACCAAAAATATTTAACATTACATAGCTGGTATTGAAATTGTGAATAGTTGTGTACACATCTGAGTAGTTTTGTGTAGTTAAGAATAAACTAATTAAGGGCTGCCCTGTTTGAAAACAGCCTAATATTTGGTATCCAACTAACTGTGATGGTTTGAAAGGACTGCAAAGGGAAGCTGTCTGTAAACAAAGTTAAATTAACAGCTGTGGTAATTTTATCCTGAAGCAAAAAAGAGGTAAAATACTACACATGATGGAAAGACCAAAGCTGGTGAAAATGATTTTGTTCTCTGTATTCAAAATTAGTTGAAGATGTTTTCCCGTGTTTCGCTCCTGATGCCACTTTCAATTTTACAATTACACAGAGTAAAGATAAAGCAGAAAAAAATATATACAAATACATGCATTTATGCCAGACCTCCTTTAAAACCAGTTAATATTATGATTTCACTAATGACTTGATTTCATACACAGTGTCAATTAAAAAAAAAAAAAAAAAAAGACAACTATGAAGCATCTAAAGGGTTTGGCTGAAAGAAAGAAAAGAAAGAAAAAGAAGGAAAGAAGAAAAGAAAGAAGGGAAGAAAGGAAAGAAAGAAGGAAAGAGAGAGAAAGAGAGAAAGAAAGGAAAAGGAAAAGGAAAAGGAAAAGGAAAAGGAAAAGGAAAAGGAAAAGGAAAAGGAAAAGGAAAAGGAAAAGGAACCTCCTAATGCTAGATCCTGGGTAGGGCAGTTTCAAATCTCCTTTGGTCTGAGTTGAAGCCTGCTGTTCTCAGACCAAGCCAGAGGAGCAGTTCGGGCTCTGTGCTATTTCTCTTGGTGACAAAACTTATTTTCTGGGGCTTCAGTGGGTTTCTGTGAGGGCTATAGTCCTCATTGCTGTTCTGAGGGAATAACTTAATATCAGCGTAACACCATTTTTCCACAACCCTCTCCCCATTTATTTTTCTGCTCTTCCCTTCTGCACATGGGAATAAGTGGGCAGCACTATCCCATAGCAAGGCTCTCCGACTGGCACATCACAAGAAGCCTGGCACAGGGGAAGAAGCTGCGACGTTTGCTGCCACCCCTCTCGGACACAGAGCTCTGATGGTATTGTCGTGCTCAAGACCTGCAGCCTACAGCCAGGGTGCAGTGATGGGGTGGTGTACAGTACACAGACAAGTGACAGTGCCCCCCCAGATGCCCTCATTTCTCCTTCACGATGGGGAAATCCACTGAGAAGGTGCTTGTCAGCGGCCAGCATGAGTCCTTCTGTGCCTGGAAGAGGGGGGCTAGGAAGACGTTATTAATTTAGTCAATGCTGCACAGCTTGCAGAAACACTGTCAGCTTCTGCCTACACATATCTCACCTCCTATTGTTAAAGAAATTACAGCCGCTGAAAGAGATGAAAAAGTAACACGCTTCTTTTTCTATTAATAAGGCAAATCCATTTCTTTTGGCCTCTGAAGTGTGGGTCTGGTTTCTTGCACTGGTCCTTCAGGGCAGCTGTGGGGCCAGGATCCCTGCAGGGATGCATAGGTGTGCTCAGTCTTAATGGCTTGGAGTGCAAGCACCACTTGTTTGGGTAAACCTCTCGCCAAGGAGTTAGGATTTTCTGACCAACTAATACCTAGTTAGGTATTATTTAGACTCTGGTGGAAGACCAGCAACCTGAAAAGCCATGGAGATGTCAAGTGAAGATTTCAGCAGATACTTCTGGAGGTAGCTCCAGTTTTCAGACGGCTTTTTGGCCAGCGAAAAGAAGATTGCAGGTGTCCCCTGGAAATACAGCACGCAGCAGGTGACGCGGGCACGTGTGACATTACGAATTGTCTCAGGGGTTTCCAGCCACAGAGAGGTGCGAGAGTGTTTTCCACCATCTCCACTTCACTCTCAGTTTCTGCTTTCGTTTCTGGTTCTCACAGGTTCCCCCTCTGCCATCACACGTAAATTCCACCCAGGCTTCCCCTGCCCCCTCCTATTTATCACCAGACCACCTCCACCCCACCCCACCCCCCCCCCCCGTGTTAAAATGCTCCCTTTGACTCTGCTGTCTCCTTAACGTAATTCTGGCGTATTTATTCCTCACATATAACAGCTATTTTGTCAAAAATGGCCTTTTCACTGGAGATTTATACTTATTGTTTTCATACCTTGCCCTGTGTTCTTTCACAGACGGGGCTTGACTTAAGAAACCAGGGCAAACCACCATGTAAGGACTGCTGCGGGATGCCCCAGCATTGGCTCCCCAAGGAAAAGCGAATTTAGGGTCTGCGTGAGACCTGAAGAAAACCTATAGAATATTTTAAAGACCGTTTCCTCTGAAGGCTGTATTGTTTCAATAGCACTTTTCTTCCAGTCCTCCTTTCCTGTTTTCCCATTCATATGAGCACGGGGTATTTTAAGAGTCCATCTGCTCACGTTACTTATTCCTCACTTCAAGTCATAATCCTCTGTGATACCGCAGTTAATTGCTCCGCGTGTGATTATATTGCTTCACGAACAGGATTATGATTTTCAACCCTATCAGTACTGGAGTCATTTCAAAATATTTCTGCTGTTACCAGCTCCAGCTGAATTTCGACAGCTTTTACAATTCTGAGGGTAATCACTGCGTTTCGGGCTCTTCGGCTGCTGTTCTTAGATAAAAGCACCCATACCAAGTTTTACACTAATAGCTAGATTAATTTGGATCTTGAACCCTCCTGGCTGACTTCAGGCCTGCCTTGAGTCACGTTATTTCCATTCACATCAGCGAGCTCTACTACACGAGAGTGATGCCTTTAAAAATAGCACGATGTATTTTAAGCCATCTCGGAGCAAGGGTAAACCCAGTTCTTAAAATGTCACTAGGTGAAGCATCCTCGTTATGACTACGCAGCAGCTCTTGCCTCTCGCTTCACTCTTTCTGCGTGGATCCATCCTTCCTTTGCTACCCGACAGCAGAGGCGGGACGGCAGAAAGCGCCCCAAAGTGCACTCGGGGACATTTGCTTGGTGGGGAGTTGGACGGTTGTAGATGTGCTTTGCTGGAAGGCTGCTCAGCAGAAATGGTCGTTTCCCGTTAAAAACAATAAGAGTATATATTGTTAATAAAATAATTAAATAATTCAAATAAAATAATTAAATAAAAAAAATAGTAAAATAGTGAAAATAACATTTTTTTCTTTTTTCTTTTTTTTTTTTTCTTTTTTTTTTCCTTTTTTTATTTTTTAATTTTCTTTCTGGGAGGGGGGTGCTGCGGGGGGAGGGAGGGGAGGAGAGAGTCGCAGGTGCCAGGGAGGGGGTGGGGGGTGTTTCGCGCTGCCTCCCGCGGGCTCGGAGCGGCCGGGAGGGGGCGCGATGTCCCCACGGTAGTGGCGGCGGCCGTGGGAAAGCGGGGCCGCCCCCCAGCGCCGGCGGGAGCCTCTCAGGGGGTGGGGTGGAGCACCCCCCCCCGCTTCCATCCCCCTTCCATCCGTCCTTTCCCCCCCAGCTTCGGTCCTCTCGCCCCGTGGGGCGGCCCCGAGCTTTGCATCCTGCCCTGTGGGTTGTGCTTTAATAAATAAATGAATAAATAAATAAATAAATAAATAAATAAATAAATAAATAAATAAAATAAAAGTGGGGAGGGGGATATATAAATAAATGGGAATAAAAAAATCCCAGCAGGGATGGGATGAGTTGGGGGGGGGGGGGGAACGGACACTACGTTCCGTGGAGCGGAGAGTAGAGGGGCTTTGCTGGGGAGGTTTAGGGGAATTGAGGGGATTTGGGGAGGGAATAGGGGGTGAGGGCTCAGCACGGGGAAGGGGGGGGGGCTCGGGGAAGCCGCAGGTGCGGCGGTGGGAGGGATGGGGGCGGCAGCTAACGGTCCTGGGGGGCCGGGCAGCGAGATGGGGGCGTCCCGTCGGGGGTGGGCACCGGGAGCTGGGGCGGGGGGGGACCCCGGGAAGGGACAGGGAAGGGGCAGGGGGCAGCCGGGGTGTGACAAAACGGGCTGCAAGGTGACCCCCGCGGGCCTGTGCCCCCCCCTCTTACACCCCTACATCCCCCCTCCCTCCCCCCCCGCAGCCTCCTTTTCTCCCGTTTAATCCTCCCGCAAAGGCGGGATAAGAAAGCGGCGACCCGGGGCGGGGGTGCCCGAGTCGGAGCCCCCCCGATGAGGCTGGGTGCCCACCGAAGCCCCCCTACATGGAGGGGGAGTGTTGGAAAAAGGGGTTGAACCCCCCTCCCACTTGTGCCCTGCCGGGGAGCGCTGAGCAAGGAGGGAAAAGGCGAGGAGCAGCCTTTTAATCCCTCCTAGTAAATTTTTTTTTTTTACTATGTTTACTTCCGACCTCTCCTTGCGCAGCTCGTAGTAAGAAGGGTGGAAAAAAAAATAAATAATTAAAAAAATAAAAATTAAAAAAAAAATAAAAAATAACCACCGCGGAGCGCTGCATCACCTCCCCCCCCCCCCAGCCCTTCCAAACCTCCCGGCGGAATTAAAGGCTGGGGGATTGTGTGTGTGTGTGGTGGGGGGGACACGCGGAGCTCCTCGGCCGCCCCCTCGCGGTGCCGCGCTCCCCGCCGCCAGGCGCGGAGCTCTGCGCGCCCGCTGCCGAACGGGGGCGCGGGAGGCGTCGGCGCGCACGGCGGGAGCGAGCGGGGGCCCCGCGGTGGTGCCCCCGCCCCCCGCGGCACTTTTACGCCCGCCCCTCGCCGGCTCTTTAAAGCAAGAAAGCAACTAAACTTCTATTGTAGCAGACAGAGCGCGCCGCGCCGCCTTGGACCGTACAATCTGATTCCCCTTCTCTCCGCTGCTCCTTGATTTTTTTTTTTTTTAATTTTTTTTTTTCTAAACCTTGGTGGGAGGAAGAGATCTACGTTCTCCCGGCGTTTTGTCCTTTTTTTCCCCGTCCTATCCGGCGGTTCTTTTTATAATTTTATATATATATTATTTTTTTTCCTTATTTTGTTGGTCCCCGCACCGCCCGCAATAATTGCCTCGCTCCGTTTCGCAGCTGGCGCCTTGGAGAAGCCGGTGAGTCGCGGGGCTCCGCTTTTCCCATCACTCGATCCGCCGCGGTAGTGGCTTGGACTGACAGGGCTGCTGACACCGGGGGCCGCCGGGGCTGCGCTCCGAGGACGGGGACACCGGCGGTCCCCCCCGGGGGACGCTCTCCTGCGCCGGGGCACCGGCCTTCCCCATCCTTTCGCTTGCTCTCGGCTCTTCAAATATCTATCTATTTTTTATTTTTTTTAATTTTTTCTCGGGGGAGGGGAAGCATTTGCTTCTCCCGCGTATGCATGGGCAGGTTATGCTTATTGCACATTCTGCCTATATTCATATATATGGGTATATATATATATGGATATATGGATACATATATATATAGATATATATGCGTGTATATATATACGTGTGTATATATATATATATCTTTGCGTAGACATATATATTTATTTATATATATATTATATGCGTGTATATGACAAGACCTGGCAAACTTTGCTGAGGTCCCTGACCGTCCCCGCGCGTTGCCCGCACGCCCAGGTGGGTGGCAAGGGGGCAGCCCCCCTGGGTGCTCGAAGCTCCCCGCAGCTCTCCCTTCCCTTCCCGGCTCGGTCCCGGATTCCCGATCCCGGGCTGGCGGAGCTGCTCCGGGAGGGAAGGAAGAGGGCTTCGTGCCGGAGCCGTGCCCCGTGTGAACGCGGCGGCTGCGGAGGGGCGGCGGGAGGGAGCCGAGCCGAGCCGTGCCGCGTCGAGCTGAGCCGTGCCAAACCGTGCAGAACCGAGTAGGGCTGCACAGAGCTGCCGGAGCCCCCTCCGGGAGAGCCGCGGGGAGGGTGGTCGGGGCGGCACCGGGAGCTGCCCCCCTCGGTAGATCAAGTCGCGCCTCCGACTTGGGAGAGGGTGAGGGGAGGTCGTACCTTTTTTATTATGATTATCGTGGATTTTATTATGATTTTTTTTTAACATTAATTTGAAACCGACCGCGGGTTTTTTTGCCCGTCGGCACGGCGCGGGGAGCCGGGAGGGAGCGCTGCGCGCTGGGGGGCGGTCGCCCCTTTAGGGTCGCGGGGGGAGAGCCGACCCCCGAGGCTCACCCCGGCGTCCCCCTGTCCTCCCCCTCCCGCAGGCACCAGCCGCCGCGATGCCTCTCAGCGCCAGCTTCCCCAGCAAAAACTACGATTACGACTACGACTCGGTGCAGCCCTACTTCTACTTCGAGGAGGAGGAGGAGAATTTCTACCTGGCGGCGCAGCAGAGGGGCAGTGAGCTGCAGCCCCCAGCCCCGTCCGAGGACATCTGGAAGAAGTTTGAGCTCCTGCCCACGCCGCCCCTGTCGCCCAGCCGCCGCTCCAGCCTGGCCGCCGCCTCCTGCTTCCCCTCCACCGCCGACCAGCTGGAGATGGTGACGGAGCTCCTCGGAGGGGACATGGTGAACCAAAGCTTCATCTGCGACCCGGACGACGAGACCTTCGTCAAATCCATCATCATCCAGGACTGCATGTGGAGCGGTTTTTCCGCCGCCGCCAAGCTGGAGAAGGTGGTCTCCGAGAAGCTGGCGTCCTACCAGGCGGCCCGACGGGAGGGGGGTCCCACAGCCCGGCCCGGCCCCACGGGACCCCCCACGGGGGGACCGCCGCCTCCGCCTCCCACCGGCCCCGCGGTATCGTCCGGGCTCTACCTGCACGACCTGGGCACCGCCGCCGCCGACTGCATCGACCCCTCGGTGGTCTTCCCCTACCCGCTCAGCGAGAGAGCCCCCAGGGCCGGGCAGCCCGGTGCCAGCCCCCCGGCACTGCTGGGTGTCGACACGCCACCCACCACCAGCAGCGACTCGGGTGAGTGGGGTCCACGCGTGTTTTTTGGGGGGCAAGAGGGCGGACGCGCACCCCGACCCACTTCTTCTGTTCTCTCTCCCTCCCACTGCGCACGGGTATTTTAAATGCCACGTTAGCGAGGCTCCCTGCGAGTTTAGTTCCTGGAAAAAACAGCCCGGTTTTCCCTCCAGGGGTTGAGGGAGAGGAAAAAAAAAAAAAAGGAAAAAAAAAAAAAAAAAAAGAGGGAGGGAGAAACTTTCATAACGGGGTCAGAGTCGGACTTCGGAGCCGGAGCAGCGTCCAAGTGGAGCTGCTTCCCAGTGACATCTGGGGGCCGGCAAGGAGTTAACCCCAGCCCGAGAGCCGCAGGGAGAATGTGCAGGGAGGTGCTAGTGAAAGTGACTGCGAGGAGTGAATGGGGCTGGGAAAGTTTTAGAAATGCTTCCTTAGGTATTTGACAGCATGTTCCGTCCGCTCGTAAATCTGGTTTGAAAGCGAGTTTCTACTCAAAGCTCTACAGCCTTCACTTTTTTTTCCTTGGATTTTCCACAAATTAACAGATCAAGAGAGATTCTGAATATGTCTCTGAATACACACGTGTGTTAAGTAAGCTCTCTTGAGGCGTGGCCAAAGCCTGCTAAATCCTTAATTAAGGACAGCTTGAGTCTAGGAGCTTCGTTGTGCTTTGCTGCTGACAACCGAGGTTAAATTTTCCTGCTATCTTTCATACGCGCCTCGGGATTACGCAAGATCTTTGCAAATTTTGAAACCAGCGAGTCAGGGTTCCGAGTGCACTTGGTGCGTCCTATTGCTCTTGAAACACTGCTCCTTAAAGGAAAGGCTCTTGAGGAGGGCAAGTGGAGTCTCGCAGCATTGAGTGGGTTTAATATGGGTTTGTCAATGGGTTCCTTGCACTGCGGCTCAAAGTAACCCCCCAGTCATAAATACAGCAGTCCTGAGAGTTTTTGCGCAGATTGGCTTACAATTCTTCTTTTTTTCTTTTCCTGTGCAGAAGAAGAACAAGAGGAAGATGAGGAAATTGATGTTGTTACATTAGCTGAAGCAAACGAGTCCGAATCCAGCACAGAGTCCAGCACAGAAGCATCAGAAGAGCACAGTAAGCCCCATCACAGCCCACTGGTTCTCAAACGGTGTCATGTCAACATCCATCAGCACAACTACGCCGCTCCTCCCTCCACCAAGGTGGAGTACCCAGCTGCAAAAAGGCTAAAGTTGGACAGTGGCAGAGTGCTGAAACAGATCAGTAATAACCGAAAATGCTCAAGTCCCCGCACGTCAGACTCGGAGGAGAACGACAAGAGGCGAACGCACAACGTCTTGGAGCGCCAGAGGAGAAACGAGCTGAAGCTGAGTTTCTTTGCCTTGCGTGACCAGATACCCGAGGTGGCCAACAATGAGAAGGCACCCAAGGTCGTCATCCTGAAAAAAGCAACAGAGTACGTTCTCTCCATTCAGTCAGACGAACACAGACTGATCGCAGAGAAAGAGCTGTTGAGGCGGAGGAGAGAACAGTTGAAACACAAACTTGAGCAGCTAAGGAACTCTCGTGCATAGGAACTCTTGGGCATCGCTTAGAGTAACCCAAACTAGACTGAAACAACGATAAAATATTAATGTTTCTAATATCATTCATGAACTACACCAGTCCATCGAGTATGGAACTATTGCAAGTGCATGCTGTGCGAATTAACTTGAGACTACACAACCTTGGCTGAATCTCCAAATGGTTTGGCCAGAACCTCAAAACTGCCTCATAATTGATACTTTGGGCATAAGGGATGATGGGACATTCTTCATGCTTGGGGATGAACTCTTCAACTTTTTTTCTTTTAAAATTTTGTATTTAAGGCATTTTTTTCTTAAGAGAATTCCAAAAAAAAAGTTGTCCCCAGATTGCTGTATATATTTACACATCTTCTTGCCATGTAAATACCTTTAATAAAGTCTTTATAGAAAAATGTGCAACATTAATACGCAACAGTTGTGGCAACTGGATTTATACTTGTCTTGAACTTCTGTGCCATAACATTTCACAGTTTTGTTTTTTTATTTAAATACATTTTTCTTTTAAAGAAATGATTTTTATTTTGTTTTTAGATAAATAAATATTTGCCCAAAATATAATTAGCTAAATCCTGTGTAAAGACTTTGCTTTGTATTCCAGTGTTGTCACTAGATGCTTATTTCCATGACATCCTTCTCTCTGTCATCACAACTGTGACCTGACCAAAGTCAAAGTGGGTTTAGGCAAGAGGAAAATGTTGCGGTTTAGCAGGGAGTTTGGTTCCTTTTCTCTCCCTCTCCCCTCCTATCAATCCAAGTAGACAAGACCAGTTCTCTTAGAGTTTTGCCAGTCCAGCTGCTGTTGCCACCAGTGCCCCAACGAGGGGGCTGGCAGTAATGTCCATCCTGGCAATCCATCATTTCTGCCTGCCGAAAGTAAAGCGGAGCCATTGTATTTCTACACCAGCAACCCCAGTGTATCGGCTCTGCATTCTTTCCAAATAAGTTTAATTATGTTTTAGGGGCATGACCTTTGTCGGCTATGTATTTTGAGGAGTGCTTTGTAGTAGACTCACCTTAATTGCTTCCTGTTTGATTTTGAACAGAAGTTAAATGGGATAACAAAATAAACCAAGGCAGTAAGTGCTGACGTGGTTAAAACAACAGCGCCGTTTCCCCTTTTAAGAGCTGAAATCAGCAGAGCCAACCTTCCTAGGCAAACACCTTAACACTTTATTAACTTGAATAGTTACTTGGGATTTCAGGGAATGCAAAGATCAAAGTCAAGGAGCACACAGAACCACACAATTATAGCAGAGGCAGAGAAGAACTATTTCCTAGCTGGAGAATATGCTCTGAGAGTTACCTAGCATTTGTCTGTCCCTATTAAAGACATTTGCATTCAGGAATTGTCTCATGATCAGCTTCAGATGGACCATAAAGCACTTGCTTGACATAGGTCCAAAGACCAGATTTGATCTTTTCCTCCCCAACTTTCATACGTTTAGCTCAACTTCAGTTAGAACTTGAGCAATAAACCAATTAGCCCTTGGATTTGGGGTAAGGAACTGCTTTAAAAAAAATAGAACTTTGTACTTGTCAATTTTCATAATTCCCACTAAATACGTATTTGCTTGGCTTCTAACCAGCTGAGCAGCAGTGCTGCCAGATAACACCAGTGCCAGCAACTGAATTGGAACAGAAGATTCGGGTTTTCTGTTGCTTTTGAGCTCGAAGTGGGGAGAGGAAGGGTTGAGCAGGGGTGTGCATGGGACAGGGGGAGGAGGTGGCAGTTTATGGACGGGATGGATGCCAAAAGTCTCTGCCCTGGAAAGGACATGGCAAAAGTCCCGATAATTTTGCATGTGGGACTTCCAAAAATAGATAAGGGCTTACATCCCATTTAGGTGTTTTAGGTGTCGGGCTGAAGATTTCTTGGGAGAAGATCATCCTGTCAGAAACCCACAATAAAGCAGTTTTTTCTTCAATTTTTCTGTACCACCTGCATGTAAATGGGTTATAGAGGCGGTGTAGTTGCCTTTTTCAGTGTGTGATTCAGATATTCATTTATGAGGAAACAGAATGATGTGAAATGAAAGTATTAATTGTATCTGAACTGTAAATCAGGACATCTTCCAGCTCTGCATCTTCCAGAATAAAAGCTTCAACTTTTATTAGACAAGTTAGCTTATTTTAGCATCAATTTTGTCTGTATCTATTCTATGTACTGGTTACGAAGAGAAGCAAGCTGTTGTCCAAGAGTTTCCAAGTGTATCCTCATCCTCAGAAACAGAGAGGTGTTGATCCAGCCACAAACTTTGAAAAAACCCTGTCACCTTTGGGTCCCAGTTTCACGTGTTAACAAAACTCCCTCACTTCTTCCCGTTAACTGCGGTTAGACCACAGCAATTAAACCTCTCCTTATTTGTCGGCCCCTTAAATCATTTGGAGAACAGTTTTTCTGTTGTTTTTGTTTGTTTTATTTTTTTTTTTCTTTCTTCTATCTGCGGAAGCTTCTCATCAGTCTTTTTATGAATACAATACTTGCAGTTATTTAATTTCTTATGCTCATCTTTTATTAGAGCATCCGTTTCACTTGCCATAGTCTTGTGGAAAGAGTACACCAGATCAGGAACATGATCCCAAATCACCACTCCAAAACATATTATGAATTTATGGGATTAAGCTTTACATTTAATGACATGTCTTAATTTGTTGAAGAATGATGGGGTAACTAAATAATGTAGTGAAAGAATTTAAAAAAAAAAAAAAAGAGAGAAAACCGCCCATGAGGGCAGGGGTAGGAACCCCCTCCTTGTCATTAAGCTGCTGCTACAATGAAGAGGAAGGGGACTTCCACTTCCCAACTTTGCATGAAAGGTTAGGATGTTCAGAAGACACTGGCATCCCACAGGAGTTCCTGGACTAGATTCAGTTAGTAACAAATTATATATGGATGGGGAAATGTTGTTTTTTTTGCTGCATTTTTGGAGCAACGAAGAGGATAAGCTTATAAAAGAAACCTCTGAGTCTCAAAATAAAATGCAATAAGCATTTATATTGCTTGCCAAACAGCTGTACCAAAACACTACTTGAAATACAAGGAGCATTTTCAACCCCATCTCTCTGCTCCTCCTCTTTCACGGGAGATTTCAAGCCACTTCTCTTCCAGAAAAACATTAGGCAAAATACGACATTGAAGGAAACTAGAAACAAGCCATTATGGTGGGAATAAAATTGCCTTTGTCATCTATCCTCATTGTTCATACCCAATGGCATTGATTTTTAGAGTTCCAGCTTTGTTTTTTTTTCCTGCACATAACTTATGTCTTTCCAGCCAGCTAGCAGTCTAAATGGCTTCAGCATATCCATGTAGAATGGGCTGGAGTAGCACCGGGATGTTCAAAGCCACGTGTGCTGGCTTCCTTTGGCTCCCATCGATGGAATGTCTGTGAGAATTCCCGGATTCTTCAAGGGAAACAGACTTGTGCCAGAGAAGGAGGATACTTTTGAAAATTTTATCACTGCCTCTAAAGAAATCCCTTTCCTTGCCACTGTCATAACCACTATTGCTCCTGCAGCACTTTGCAACCACTGCAGGCAGTTGAGAGATGACAACCACTTCACCAGAGTTGTATTAAAAGGAGGATTTCAGGCAAGCAGAATAGAATTACTGTAAACTGGAAATAAGCCAGGCCACTTCAGTTAACATCTGAATTTATTCAAAACGGAAAGTAGTCGTGGTTGTTTTGCCTACAGAGATGAACAATCTTTCAATACTCTGGACTTTTTTTTTTTTCTTTTTTTTTTTTTTTTAAATAAAAACTCATTTTTGGATTGATCTGTGTTAGAGTCATCTGCCAATGAATTAAAAGAAGAACAAATCTGAAGGTTAGGGCATCCTAACACAGCCAAACTGCTTGGGAAAAGACCAAGGATTTACTTCCCAGCTTACAGTTTTGCTATTTCCTCATTTTAAAAGAGTATCTATGGGAGCTTCTGAAAAAGAACTCTGCTGACTGAAAACTAACCCTGGCTTCCCCTTGAGGTTTCCACGTGGACTGAGCCTAAACCTGCCTAGCAAAAAAAAGATAAAGAAATGAGACAAACGAGCCCCAGAAGCCAGATTTCATTTCCAGTGCCAACGTTTTACATTCACTAGCTTTTACCTATGTTAGTGCCATTTACTCATCTCGGACATGCTCGTACAGTCATTGGGAACATGCAACCGAGAGGTCGTCATCCAAGATTCAGTATAACAGTGAAGAAGTCAAAATCTGTTTGTTCATTTGCTTGCTTTTCTTAATTCTGCCATATGCCTTCTACAGAGATCTTGAGCATCCTGCTGCCAGCTCTGGGCTCAGTGGCATGAGTCAGGGAACTCGTGGAAGGGCCGGAGGTCCCATGCACCCTGGTGAACACAAGGGCTGGGCAAGAAGCTGGCCAGGAGGTGACAATCCCATCTATTAGTCAGTTCTTGACTGAACGACAAGGTATTTTTTCACATCTCTGAAGAGGCCAAACACCCTGTCTCCAAATATGTCCACACTCCATCTTCCGAAGAAATGAGATAAGTTAATTCTGAGAGGGTAAAGGTACAGCCGTTGGTGCTGAGTAATAGTACATATTAAAAAGTTTCATCTGCCACTTGCCCAAACTGTTTAGTATCCTTAGTTACTGAGCAAATCTTGCTCCAAATCCCCACCTATGAAGGCACGACTGCTTGAAGCGTTGCGACAGGAGGGAGAAGGCCCTTGCTGAGAGCACGGCTCCAGCCGACTTGGATGGCAGAGCACCTTATTCCTACAAGCACTGTTTCCAGTTTCCAGCTTGATGTATGAATTATGGAGCTGTTCCCTGCTCTAAACAAGTCTGGGAGAAAGCAGCTGGGTCAGCTAGTTCCTGGCATTATGTCCAGCTCATTTTGCTTTGTTTCTAAATTCACTTTTCATGTATATCTCTCTACAGGTCTTGCCATGGCTACTGTTTGTTGAATACATTTCCATTCAAAGCAAGCCTCTCTTATAATTTCTATTGCATTCTTTCTGGTCCCAGTTGTGCAGAATTATGTTTTCCCTACAGGATCAAAAAGAAAACCAAGAAGAAATAAAGGATTAGGTGCTATAAAATAAGAAATTAAGAAAATTAAGCTGCAAAAATGGAACAATCTGACCTGTTAACAGAGTTCGAAACAGAGAAATTAACACAGAGCAATTCCCTGCTTGGAACTAATTAGCCCCATCAGCTTCTTGCGTGTTTATTTATCCATGATGAAAGAGGACAGAAATAGAAGGGAAAAAAAAAATAATCTAGGAACTGTGCTTTCTGTACAAGTGCTGTGAGAAGGCAAACCCACAAAATCCTGCAGGCTGAAGCACGACACAGCGCAGAGCCCTGCGCCCGCGGCCACTTTCCCTCCCCAGAGCAGTGTTCCTGTGCACAGCACACATCTTCCTTCCCTGCAAAGGGCTGTTTGCAGGGATATAGCTGGTGGAGCGAGAGCTCCTTCCTTCTCTTTTTCTTCCGTTAGTCTGCTCCCAGATGATGGCAGAACCAAGTGAAACCTCTCAGTGCAGGTGGTTTCCATGACTGAGAGCCCGGCTGAGTGTCTGACAAAGCTTTTTGGGCTG